ACACATCAGTTTCTTTGTATAACTTGTGAGTTTCATGTGTTTTGTTTTTATTATGTAAATATCATTATAAATAAACTTATTTATAAATGAAAGCTTTGTTGATTATTGGAGATTATACTTGCAGGGCATCCTGACTTGCTAAGATGCTAAGGTAATATAATCCTCTGGAGTTAGAAGGCTAATGTAGCTCTTATAGTGGTTCTTCAGATGTTAGACTGAAAACTCATGACCCAGTAGATTTACTCAATCATGAAGGTATATTGAACATAGTTCATATATTTTAGTATAATGGGGCTAAAAGGAATTGGCAACTATTACTACCTCCTCCTGCTTCATAGTACCCAAATCACTTAGTCAAATTGTTGGGAATATTACCTTTTAAAATCTTACAATGGATTTCTCGTAACTCTGTATTAATGTATCTTCAATGATAGGCTATTTCTTTTGTTGTTAAATCCATCTTTTTAATGAATTGTAGTTGGGTTCTCCTTGTAATGCTTTATTATGTCTTGGGCTTAATAAAAATATTTGTGATCATAAGTTGTATTTTTCAAACCCTTTTTAATAGTTTCTAATCCTTTACCCTTAAAATATATATAATGAGCACAAATGCAGTCATATTTTGTGCTTACTATTTATTATCTGTTTCTCAGTAAATGAATTTATTACTTAGGATCTATTCTTATTAGTCCCTTTATTGGACTGAAGTCAGTAATCATACTCCATTATCAGTAAAGAGCATGTGAGGCCACAGTTGTTGCAATAATATCTTGGCCACCTGAAGCAGCTTTAATTTTTTTAATGCAAGTCACACAGAAATAGAAGATATGCTTTATGTGTTTTCATAACTGTATTTCTGACCCCATGGACTCTTAACTTTATGCCAGTAGATATTTATATTGAAACATGAAGCAATATTGTTTCTAGTTGGTGTTATTGTATAGCGGTTATATAGGAATATCAGGAGATTTGGTTTCCATTTGTGTGACCTTAAGCAAGACACTTAAATGGTCCATAATATTAAGGAACTGATTCCTTTAACTTTTTCTTCCCAAAATGTATGTGTTTCTTTTCCGATTATAATATGAAATTCAATTTCTGCTCTGATTTATTCATATTCTTTCTCAATTGCTCAGTAAGGAGACATTTAATTTGGGTACAGGATGGGATAATGGAATTTAGTGAAAACAGCTGACCTAAAGGTTGTGGTGATGCTAGGATTGAAATGAAGCATTTCCTTATGAAACCTGCTGTGGCTGCCTTTTATATTTGAAGTACGATTTGTGTAAACAAGTGGGACTGATCATCTTATTTTGAATTTTCATAATTTTAGATAAGCATTACATTTTACTAAATTCTATTTTTATTAAAGCTTGTCAGAATATAATCATGTGCGCGAAAATGAACATGCATAAGAATGAAGAAAAGTAACTACTTCATTATCTAGAGTATTACTCGAATTTCTTTTGTGAAAGTTACTTTTTTTTCTTTGGACTGCCTTGATGACATGATAAAGAGTACTTTGCAATGAGATTCACTTATAACTATTATTTATTAACAGCCACTAATGATAAGAAAATATGATCCAAAGAAGCAAGGTACTTGGGAAATACACTCTGTTTTTATGTGTAATCCTTAATGTATAAAGTATTTAACGTTTTTTCCCCATAGAACATTGTTGAGAGGAAAGAAGCACCCTAAACAAGGTCATATTTAGCTGGGCTTTCCTTTTTCTTTCTTTCTCCCCCACACCCTCTCTCTCTCCTTGTCTGCTCAGCAATGTTTTCCTTCCTCTGCCCTGCTTTTCAAGTGGAAGGCCATCTATCCTTAGTCTGTTTCCATATAGAACATGACGTACTGACCTGGGCAATCCAGTATTAATAATAGTAACATAAATTGAACTAAAATTTGATGTTATATAATTATGGTTTAAAGTGGGTTAAGGGTAATCTAAATATATAGTTATTTGGATGATTTCTATTTAAATGGCTTGTTTATTCAGGCAGCTCTTGCCTTCCACAGTAGCGTGGGAAATGAGTGCAAGTTGAAGTTTGCAGAATAATCATTGGGGTGATTAAAGTGATTAAAAAGTTTTGTCCTGATTTTTTGTTTGTTTCTCTTTTCCTAGTTTCCCATCAGGATACTGAGTGAGTTCTTCGAGAACAGATTATCTTGTTCTTTTCTGTACCTCAGCATCTAACATTACCAGACCTATAATAGACATTTAGTAACAGTTGAATTGATTTTCTATGTTCCTATTACCAAAGTTTCTCTAGTGTGGCATCCTTGGAATGCTCCCAACTCCCAGTCTTTTGCTCTTTCAAATATCCTTTACTTAGCTAAAGTTCTGCCCGCTTCACCCACCCCACTTCAACCCTCTTTCCATGAATTTCTCACCAAGCACTCCAACCCATGGGCTCTTTCCCTTCAGTGGGCACTTGGTACATTTATCGGAATTGTAGAATTTTATAATTTATTTTAGATTGTATTCATAACCTTATCAATGAGATTGTAGAGTTTTTGAGGTTAGAGATTATATCTTTTATTTTTTTAATTTTATTGGGGAAACGGTGTGTTTTTCCAGGACCCGTCAGCTCCAAGTCAAGTAGTTGTTGTTTCAGTCTAGTTGTGGAGGGCACAACTCAGTGGCCCATGTGGGGATCAAACCGGCAACTTTGGTTTTATGAGCACTGCGTTCTAACCACCTGAGTTAACCGGCCACCCCGAGATTATTATCTTATCCTTAATTTTTTTCAATTACTCATTTATTGCTGTCTTAGGCACATGGTAAATTTTCAGTAAATACTGATTTACTTTACAGATTGAGCCAATTTCCTAGGGAAAGTCTTCTAAACTAGCATAAGGAGAGTAGAAGATTCCATCCAGTTTGAACATGCAGCTCCCAGGACTATACCCTCCATTCATCCATCATACAATTTCTATTTATCCTTTGGAGGAAACATGTTACTCTTTTACATTCCATCTTCACATTCTGATGTCTTTGTCCTTTTATGTGCCTTGGTGTAATTATATGCCTTATATTGCTAATAACTTTTAACTTTTTTTTTTGCAGTACAGTAGCCATATGAACAGTGGCAACACATCACCACTTAATAATGCTGGTGATGATTTCTAATAGCCAGCTTTGTTGAGGAATTATTTGTAATGTGCTAAATATTTACCATGTATGGTAGATAGTCTGACCTTTACAAATGAAGAAATCAAGGCTTATGGATATTAAGTCACATAGTGAAATAGTGACAGAGCTGGAACTCAAAAGCAGGTCTTCTGGCTCAGCGTATTCTTAACCGCTATGTGGCTAACTTGCAAATAAAATGTTGATGTTTTATTAAAAAATAAAAAGTTTTGTCAACATTAAAAACATTGGTTATAAATGTATAAATGAAAAAAGTAAAACATTGAGTACACTAAAATATTAGACACAGTGAGAAAGTTTTTTGTAAATACTTATCAAGAGTAGTTTGAACAGTACCTTGTATAACTTGGAAGCAAACATTTTTTTTTTAATACTTTGGAAAATGGTCTTAATTCTAAATTTCGATCAGCTTCCAACATTTTATTGCTCGTTCAATATCACAAAATATCCCTGTTCTTTTTTCTCTTTTAATAAGACTTTATTTTTTAGAGGAGTTTTAGGTTCACAGCAAAACGGAGCAAAATTACAGTTCCCATATACCCCTCCCCCACACGCACAGTCAACACCCCATACCACAAGGGCATGTTTGTTACAGTACTTGTACCTACACTGACACATCATAAGCCTCCAAAGTCCATCGCTTACATGAGGGTTCACTGTGGGTGTTGTACGTTCGATGAGTTTGACGAATCTACCAGTATAGTATCATAGAGAGTAGTTTTACTGCCCTAAAAATCCTCTCTAGTCCACCTATACATCCATCCTTCCCACCCCTTTAGCCTCTGGCAACCACAGATCTTTTTACCGCCTTCATAGTTTTGCCTTTTCCAGAATATTAAAAACAGCTGAAATGATACAGTAGGCAGCCTTTTCAGATTGGCTTTTTTCACTTAGTATGTATGTCAGTTGCCCCGTGTCTTTTAATGGCTTGACAGCTCATTTCTTTTTAGTGCTAGATAAAACTCCGTTGTGTGAATGTACCACAGTTTTATCCCTTCATCTGCTTGAGAGCAGCTTGGTTGTTTCCAAATTTTGGAATTATCAACAATGTTGCCACAGATGCCCTTGAGCAGCAGGTTTTTGTGTGGACATGTTTTAAACTCCTTTGAGTAACTACCAAAGTGCAAGTGCTGGACTGTGTGGTAAGAGTATGTTCACTTTCCTAAGAAACTGCCAAGGTTTCTGTACCAAAATTTTGTGTACCTTTCAGCAATGAATAAAGTTCCTGTTTCTCCACATCCTTTCCATCATTTGGTGGTGTTGATGCTTGAAATGTTTGCCATCCCAACAGGTATGTAATAGTATCTCATGGTTTTTATTTGCAATTCCCTAGTGACATGTAATGATATTGAGCATCTTTTCATATGCGTATTTGCCATCTATATCTTTGGTGAGGTGTCTGCTCAGGTCTTTTATCCATTTTGAATCTGGTTATTCATTGTGTTGAATTTTAAGAGCTCTTTATATATTTTGAATAACAGCCCTTTATCAGATAGGTCTTTTGCAAATATTTTCTCCCAGTCTGTGGCTTGGCTTCTCATTCTTTTGCTGTCTGCTCTTTTCATATGAAGCTTTACTCCAGCCTCACTTTCTCTGGGTTCTCTTCACCTTAGTTACACCACCTTCCTCATTTACTTTGGTTAAGTGTGCCTTCACCAGGTTCTCTGGCTGCATATCTAGAGCCATTTGACAGTGCAGCAGTGTCAACACTCACAGTCTGCTTTCTACTTTTGTTTAATTTGAATTTCACTCCAGCATTATCACTCGCCATTTCTTTATTGTGCTTAAATCTTTGTTGGTTAGTTCCCATTTTCAAATATCCATTTTTGTAAAATGTCAGATGTGTTTGTCATTCAGAAGCAGGCAAGGCCACTACACACTTTATTTGGGCATGAGTAACAAGCATTTGCAGTGAACTAGCAATCACTAACAGGCTTTGAAAGAAGTGACATGGGTCATCGGCCATGCTGTGCATCCTGCTGACAGTGATTTGTGGAGTGAATAGCTAGCAGCAAAGTTAAAGGAGAGTGTGTGGACCAAGGCAGGCTGGTGTCACTCATCTGATGGGAGCGTTGCTGAAGTTGGAGGCAGCAGGCATCGCCTAGAGTTTGGTCTGGGGCCTCCTTTGTATCCAGCCAGCGATGGCAGGAATGGCTTGGACTTTCTTCCTTAATGTCACCAGCCTGGGATGGATGTCCAGCAAGTCAGGTTTAAAGACCAAAAGTGTGGTACTGCAAATCTCCCAGTAGAAATCTGCCCAAGTTACCTAGTTTAAAGGAAACAAAAATTTCCATTTGAATGTAAAAGGCATAACCTAAAAAGTTTATTTCAAAATAGTCTTTTGTTACAAAAGTGGAATGTATATGATAGGAAATTACAGATAACATCATACTCCCAGCACCCAGAAGTTACTAATATTAACACTTCTGTGTGTAAGGTATTTTTTTTCTGTGTGTACGTGCATTTTTGCTGAAATGAGCTGTTACGGTATATATACTTGTAACATGATAGATCTGCACCTCTCTGGCTACATTTTTATCTTACCTAATACCCAATTACTTTTTCCCTCTGTTCCCAAAGTGTTCTTCATAGGACACGGAGTCCATTCCAGCACCATGCGTGTCATCTGGTTGTGTCCTTGAACTCACAGCAGTGCCCCTTTTCTATGCCACTGAATTATGGAGGATTCCACACTAGGCCTGCACAATGTCCCATCTTCAGGATTTGGGTGACTGTTGTGTCTTGTTTACCTTGTTCCTTTACACGGCAGAGTGTAAAGGAATAGAGTGCGGATTAGCCCTAGAGAGGTCATAGTTTCAAGTTAAACAATTCTCGCTAGCACATTCTACTGCATCACATCAGAAGACATAATACGTGGATGACCATAAGTAAACCCTAAGATTGATCACTGTATTAGGGTGATGACAGCCTGCTCCTACCCTATATACTTTTTTTTTCACTTTGTTACTAGAAACTGATCCTTTGGCTCCACATGGACATCAATCAGAGTTTAAATGTGGACTATTAGTTTTATTTTTGTATGGAATTTAATAATGCTTATTGCTAGTGTTTTATGACTTGCTTAATAAACACCTGTCAACCAGGAGAGTCTATTAGAGGATTCAGAGTTTGGTCAACACATTTATGGAGCACCTACTGTGTGCTACATGCAGGTCTAGGTGCTGGGGTTAACTGGAGAGCATGTTATGCAGGGCCCTTCTCTGATGCAGCTTTTATTTTAGAAGCACGAACACAAAACATATAAACTGAGGGGTGATGAAGAAAAAGTGAAGCGTGAGGACTCGTGATGAGGGAGGGAAGACCTATAAGAGGTGACATTTAAGCCATGGCTTGAATGATAAAAAGGTTCCAGATGTGCAGCAATTGGGATTAAATATTCCAAGCAGAGGGAACAGCAAGTGGAAAGTCCCTTGGGTGGGAGTAGGGCTGGTGTCTGAGGAACAAACAAAACACCAGCGTGTGTGGAACACAGGAAGGAGAGAGTGCTGGGAGATGGGCCACTCAGGAGAAAGTTAACAAAGGAATTTTAATAGAAAACGGAAGGGAAAAGAAGTCCTTCGAAGCTTCAACCCATTGGGCAGGGAGAGGGGCATGTTGGGAAAGGCTATTGAGTCAATGGGAAGAAAGGAAGGGGGGTGTGGTGAAGTAGAAAGTTAGGAACAGAAATGGGGAAAGTTTGCTTCTCTCCCCGCGGGACTCAGCAGACAGTGATCGGAATATGTCACACGAGCGCCATAAAAGCAGACTGTGACTTGTCTTCTAGAATGCAGTCTCCTTGAAGGGCAGGGACCCTGACCTACCACAGCATCTAAATCAGATTTAGATCTGATTTTTTATGGCGTAACTACTTCAGAGGTGGTGGTGTGCTCCTCTCAGCACGTCCATAATATCTGGTGGTCACATTTTTCGTGATACTAGCAATTATTGATACTCAATGCCTAGGTCCATTAATTTATCAGGGGTTGGAAAATGGGGCTAGTTTATTTTAATCTCTCCTTATTAACTGCAATGTTTTTATGAAGACAAACTTTGTCCAACAACTTTTGTTATCTTGCGGTACAACTGGCATAGGAAAGGCAAGGTAAATGCTTTATTCAAACCCCCCAACCTTTTTGTTTGTTTTTAACAGTTTTCAGAATAATAATTTGGCTCCATGGCATCTCTAAAAGTAACCAATGAAACTTTGGTTTGGGGGTTTGTGTGTGTGTGTGTGTGTGTGTGGTAGTGGTGGTTGTCATAAACTCATGGATTCACTCATTTTTATTTGTTTCAACCCATTGCAGTTAATGTTCTTATTGAAGTTTGAATTGTCCCATCTGTGGCCATTAGGAGCCCCTTCAAATTGACTTCTGAGTCCTTCTGACACAATCCCAGTTGTCTTTGATCATTTATTTGCTTCTTGTATGACAAGGTATTCCCAGCTCATCTTTTACATTTTCTTTCCCAAATTGAGGAAGAGCTATTTCTCCAAGAAGCGGTGGTTCCTTTTAGTATTTGGAGACCAGAATTTGGGTCCTAGGGGTGCCCAGGACAACTGGGTTGGTCATTGTTTGAAGACAGAGAGTTATAAAATGTATTTTTCTTTATCCTAAGATAAAGTACATTATGAGTTTATACTGTTACATCTAGTTCACATTTAGGAATAGGATGTGTACCTAACCTCACTTGTCTTACGTCTCTCTCTGTCCCACACTGAAGATCCTGGCTCTCAGTGACATCCACATAATTTCTTATTGCTTTACCCCACAATAAAATATATCAGAAAAAACAGTAGCACTGTGCTCAGTACCACCAACAATATAATTACTGACAATGATGTATGACTTTAATTTTTTGTTCTGCGAGAATATCTATAATGAGATGTATAGTCAAATTACTCTTTTACACATGACATTTCTTAAAATAGTTCTTCACTCACAGTACGTAGGTACTTCTCTACGTACTCTGTGCATCAATTTGGCACAGGTTCATTTGTTTCACTTGGTTTTTGCTTTGTAGTGATAGCTTTTTAAAATGTTTTTGTTATATAGTTATATAAAGTATTTTAGTTCATGTTTCTAAAAGTCCACTAAAAAGGTTTATTCAAAGAAGTTCAGTTTTTATCCTAGCTTTTATTCCTGCTCTCTAACTTATTCTCTCCTTATGGGTAACTTTTTTTTTTTTCAGTAAGTTTTCTTAAGTCTTTGATTCTCTCTCTCTCTCTCTCTCTCTCTCTCTCTCTCTCTCTTTCTCTCCCCCTCCCCCTCCATATATATATCTTGTATTTTTAAGATGTAAAACATACTCACAGAGTTACCAATAAACCACTCTTTTTCCCCCAAGTATGTTTCCAAATCTTGGAGAAGATGAGGTGCATGGTACGTAAGTAGCTCATTAAACACCTGCTCCTAGGAGAGGGAGAAAAAGATCACTTTAAGGATAATAGGAAGAAAAATAAATAGTATGATTTGAAGAAGAGTAATCCCATTTTTGTTTTTCCCACATGAGTTCAGAAAGGAGGAGAAGTAGCTATGCGTTGTTGGTTAGTTGCTTTGTTTAATGTGTGACATTACAGAGATTCAGATCTAACTCTATAGATTTTAGTCATCCCTTATTACTCATGGATTTAAAAATAAATACTTTTGTCACAAGTTCTTAAATTTTCTTTGTATATAATCACTAACTATTTTACCCATAAAATCCTTTAATGATTTTAATTTTTATTAATAAAAATTCCACTGTTTTTCCATTTTTAAAATTCTTACTTTTCTTAGCGTCGTTCTCTTTAAAGTTAAACAACATAACTGAAGGTAAAGAAATTTCGTTTTGTAAGGCTAGATTTCTTCAGTTTGACAGTCTTTTTTACAATTTTAAATTTTTTCAATTACAGTTAACATACAATATTATATTAGTTTCCGGTGCACAACATAGTGATTAGACATTTATATAATTTACAAAATGACCACCCCAATAATTCTATTACCCATCTGATACCACACATAGTTATTGCAGTATTACTGACTGTATTCCCTATGCTGTGCTTTACATCCCTGTTCGACAGTATTTCATTTCACCATTGCACTTAACGGAAGTAATCCATAATGAATCATGCTCTGGGGCGTTTATGAATTTTCTCTATGACTTGAAATTGTGCCTTAGTAAGATATTTGTCTGCCTTGAATATCATCTACAAAACCCATTATCTATGTGCCTCCTTTTGATGTTATTATGTAAGGTAATATTACAAACCAAATAATATTCTTACCAAAAAAATAGCAAATATATCCATGTTTTAAAAATTGTCCTTGTGTTTTTACTTGAATCTCTGAAGACCAAATAATTTATTCATGGGCTATTTCTTGGTACGAAGTGTTGGTTTATATATGAAAAATTTGGCTGGTTTGTGTTTTGGATATGAGATGTAATGCAAACTCAAAAACAAAATACAAGTATGGACATATGTCACTTGTTAATATTCATAAGTGACCTACACAGGCACACTTGACTTTATTGTGCTCTGCTGTATTGCTCTTTGCAGACAGCATGTTGTTTACAAATTGAAGGTTTGGAACAGCCCCATGTGGAGCAAGCCTGTGGCACCATTTTCCAACGGCATTTGCTCACTTCATGTCTCTGCGTCATATTTTGGCAATTCTCACACTACTACACACTTTTCCATTATTACTATATTTGTTATGGTGATCTGTGATCTTTGATGTTACTATTGTAATTGTTTTGGGGCATCCCGAACTATGCCTGTATAAGACGGTGAACATAATTGATAAACGTTGTGTGTGTTCTGGCTGCTCCACCGACTGGCCTTTCCCAGCCTCTCTCCCTCTTCTCAGGCCTCCTTACTCCCTGAGACAGAATAACATTGACATTAGGCCTAATAATCAACCTACGATGGCCTCGTGTTCACGTGAAAGGAAGAGTAGGCCTCGTGTTCACGTGAAGGGAAGAGTAGGTCTGTGCAGCGAACGGCATTTTCGTCTTATTCTAAGAAATTGCCGGCTGAGTGGTGCGATGGTTAAGGAACTGGCTTGGGACGCAGAGGGCCCCGGTTCGCGTCCCACATATAAGGGCCAGTGACACTGCTCTCTACAGCTAAGATGCTGAACAACAGCTCAACCTGGAGCTGGGCTGCCCTGAGTCGCCGGTGATGGCGTAGGCTGCAGCCCCTGTGGCAGTGGGTTGCCATGGGCTACCGTGTGTAGCCAGCAGCCGCAGTGAGCGGTCGTCCAGAAGCCGGCGACTGATCTGCCTTACCCAGGAAGAGCGCAAGGATGGTGCCAACTTGGGCCAGTGAAGCGGTGTCCTCCACAACTAGACTGAAGAACAAAAGGACAGCAACTTGTCTGTTCCCATCCCCCAATTCCCCAATAAAAATCTTTAAAAAAAAAAGAAATTGCCACAGCCACCCAACCTTGGCAGCACCCTCTGGTCAGTCGGCATCCATCCACATCGAGGCAAGACCCTCCACCAGCAAAAAGATTATGACTCGCCAAAGTCTCATGATGGTTAGCAATTTTTAGCAATATTTTAAAATTAAGGTATATACACTGGTTTTTAGACATAGGCTACTGTAAATTTAAGACTACAGTATAATGTAAACATAACTTTTATGTGCCCTGGGAAATTAAAAAATCTCACTTAATTGCAGTATTCTCTTTATTGCAGTTGTCTGAAACTGAACCCACAATATCGCCGAGGTATGCCTGTAACAAAAGCCAGCCTTTATTAAGGTAAGTCAGATAGTTGATAACTACCTCACCAATTTGCTGATTTACTTCCTGTTACCATTATGACGTACCTAGGTAATACCAATTACTATAACATAATGCCTTATATTTGTAGAGTAGTTTGCAAAAGCATCATTACATATTTACAAACATTTGCCATATTTTACAATCTGAAGCTTGGGAAGCTTGCATTCTTGCCACTGTTATATACCACCTTTGTGCCTAAGGTCCTCTCTGTATGGTTAATATGTTCATAGTTTTAAATAAAAACAGTGTGAGTCCTTCTGCCCTTACACAGAATTTGTGAGCTGAGGCAATGGGCCCGGAGTTGTGTGGTACTTATATAGCTCAGCTTAGTTCAGCATCAGTTGGAAAGATAACGGCCAACTTGGCCATCCCAGAATAGATAGAAACAGGAGGGAGTTGAACAGAATGGGATGAAGCTGCGAGACAGCTTTCCAAAAAAATTCTGTATGCCCACCTGGTTAATTTTGTTACTTTTTCTAATGTGCATTTCTACAACTTAAGATACATTGAAGCTTGCATTTTATGCAGTGCCAAATAGAAATCTTATGTCTGTGCTTATTGACTTCTTTAGCCCAGGTTCTCTTTATCAGTTTGGTGAATCATCTTAGTCTAAGAAAATGTAATAACCAAACAACATAATCATTAGTATTTAAGTGTCATTTTAAAGAATACTCACCAAAATAAGATAAGATGAAATTTGGTATACACCCTTTCCCCACCAAGATGTGTACTTTTTGAAATGCATTTCCTGATAAATCCTAGACAGCCACTCTTATATTTGGTGTACTCAGAAATATGCTCCCTCGTCCTCCAGAGAGTTATAAGACAGGAGGCTTTTTTTCCCCCTGAGAAGTCATGGCTATAGTATTAAAACGGAAATTAAAGAATATTGTATATTTCTCCAAATCATTATTTTTAAATCCACACGACCAAAATCATGCTGTACTGGAAATGGACCACTAGCAGTCCTTCCACCCTGCTCATCCTCCAGCCTACCCCCACCCCCGTTCTTAGATGAGGAAACTGAAACAGAAACATTGCATAACCAAAGAAATAGTAGTGGTAAATTCAAGAATTATCAGGGCGGGTGACCAATGTCCAGAGACATATTTTGCCTTTTAAATTAAATCTAAATTAATTTTTTAAATTGGAAATGGAATTTTTAGCAACCAATACTAAAACATTTATAATTATGTATATTTGATAGATTTTTTTAAAGCACATATGATAAGAGGACTATTTTCATTATCCATTTATCTTTACTGCATCAATATTCTGCCTTTGAAAATTTTACCTGACCACAAGGTGGCAGCAATGCAACCCAATACCAGGAGACTAGGTGATGAAATAGAAAAGAACCACGCATTTCTTATCGTATACTAGCCAGGTTCTGCTTATTAATCAGAGTCTGTAGCTATCTGCAATGTTTCTGCAACGTGTTTTCCCTTAATAGGGTTTATCGTGAACTTGGATTATGTTCTGTTAAACGTTTTTTTCCTTGCTGTAGGTGGTATGTAAGAGCATTGTTATTCTAATACAAACGTGGTGTTACTCTTACCAGGAATGCTCAAAGAATGTTTTCCTCTGTGACACGGCCTTTGTTATGGAGCCTCAGCCAAAACAGAGAAAAGACAGAAGGGCAAGCCCGGAAGGTGACAGACTGCCAATCAGTGAGGTTTCTAGCATGTGGGGGAAAGAGTTTTAGATCCTTTTTTTCTAAATCGGGGATTATATATCTACTTGTCTCTGCATTTATAAGGATATGTAAAATATAGATGCCACGTTTGACAAATAAAAGCAAAAAAACAAAACAAAACCGATCACTGTACTATATAATAACGCTGTATTAGTTGTAGTAGCTAGTGCTTATTGAACACTTTCTACCTAGCTTTAAGTGCTAATGCTACCATTTAATCCTCCCAACATATTTCAAAGTAGATTCTATGACATTTTTACAGACAAAGAATTTGAACTATTGATAGGGAGTTAAGTGACAACGGGGAAGAAGGTAATCAGGATTTCAGCCTGGTAGCCTGACCCCAGAGCCCATATGTATCTCCATCATCAAAGCTGAGCTTGTAAGACGTGGTCCTGGTTAGTCGCGCACGTGTGTGTGTGTGTGTGTGTGTGTGTGTGTGTGTGTTTCTATCCCCACACACCTTACATTTCTGTCAAGGAATGTGAATACTTTTATGTTTTATATATCTCTATTCAAATCAGGAGGTCCTCATTAAATAAACAGTATTTAGAATAAATATGCTTAAGTAAATTAAAGTAAATTAAGGAAGACGGCCACCTGTTCTGTGCTGTAGTGTTTGGATGTGGGCCCTGAGCTATGACATGGACGTACAATATATTCGTGCACAGCCATTTTGAACAGCTGCTGGTGCTGTGGCCTCACACCCAGCAGTTAAGAACGTGGAGTCTCAGTCAGAGTGACTGGGACTGGAATTCCTCGTGTACACCTTACGGGCTGAATTGCCTTCAGCAAGTGGCTTACCCTACATGAACCTTAAGTGCTTCACCTGGAAAATAAGGAGGACAACTGTTTCTCCCTGAAGGGATGGATGCCTTCGGATTAGTCACTGATTTGGGAGAAAGTATGTGTAGGTGGTGAAGCTGTGAGTTCTGGGCTGGGCCAACTTGTGTGACCTGGGCAGCTCCGGAACTAATCTGTTCCTCAGATTCTTCATTTGCAGAGTGAGCATGACCATCAAAGCGCCTGTCTCACAGGAGGATGCAGACACTGACTGAGATACCTAATCCGGGTAAGGGGCAGAGAGCGCTGCACGTGGTGTCTGAGGAACTTGGCTCTTCCTAGCTTTCACACAACAGGGACCCAATGTCTGCGAAACATCAGGTGCTGTGATAGGTGTGAGGTTCACCAGCGAGTGATGCAGGCGGGGTTCCCACCCTCATGACACATTCTACTGCAGGAGACAAAATAAATGTATTTTAAAGTATAGATTATGATGAGTGCCCTAAGAGAAACCAGTAGGATCTGTCTGTAATGGAGAATAACCAAGAGGTCTATTTACAATTCTGGATAAAGATGACAGATTTGATTTGAGATATAGATAGATAGATAGATAGATAGATAGATAGATAGATAGATAGATAAAATCTCAATATATATATTTTTTTCTTCAAAATCACAGTAATTATATATTTTTGAAAATATAGAACCATATGTGGAAAATTGGAGAGGAAACGAGCAAACAAAATTTGAAAGTGTAAAACAGATGGATGAATGGTACCTGCAAAGACAAAGCAAAAAACCAGCATTATCTACCCCCATAAAACTCTCAACTAGTTTAAGAAATGCCGGGATATATCTAGTATTGGCCGTAAGGAGGTAAGGAAGGGGATAAAATGAGGACTGGTGCAAAGCTGTGAAAAAAGTCATTTTAGCATAAGACGTCCTCTTTCATTTTACACTGCTAGTCACCTGCGTCTTCGCCATCCTTAGCAGAAGGCTGGAGAGGGTGACACAGATGGTCTCTGAATTGGGAGTACTCATACATGATGTATTAAAAATGGGGTTAAATAAATATGTGTATGCTGAATGTCAAATTCTGAGACTCTTAGCCTTCTCTTTGCTCCTTGTCTGCTAGAACACTGGCAGCCAGGCCTTTATATCTCTGGGCAAGAGACTGAAAGTCTTCTCTGGTGACTCTTTCTAGTGTAAGAGCAGATATTTGAAGATAGTGATATTGGAAAGTACCTCCAAATGGCCTCGTGATGCTCAAAATCAGCAAACCCCATCCAAATGCTGAGAGCTTTGAGTAAACTTTTTAATTTCCATACTCTTTATAATGGATTATAAAGGATGTTCTAACTCTAGAGGAAAGATAGAGACCAAAACAAAGAGGAAAAATGGCAACTTTAAATAAACATACAACAGGCAGGAGATGATGTTGTATCAATTAAACAAATATAAAGTACTATATTTTTTTAAAAACACAGAGAACATCATAGAATAAGAATCCTTATACACAGTATCAGACATTTAGACCTCAAGAGAAAGATTGTTGAATAAAATTGAAGAATTCTTCCTGAAAGTAATGCAAACAAACAAAAGAAGAGATGAAAAATAGAGAAAAGATCCAATATCTGAATAATAGGAATTCAATATAATAGATCAAACAGAAGAAAGGCGGACGAAATTATCTGTGAAATAATTAAAGGAAATTTCCTAAAATTAAAAAACATGACTCCCAGGACTTAAAGGGCCCCCAAAAGAGATAGCACAGTGGATGAAGAGAGGATCATACCAAGACTACTCATTGAAAAATTTTAGAACTCTAAGGACAAGTGGTCTACCAGCTTTCACAGAGGAAAAAAAATAGGTCGTATACAAAATGTCAGTCATTAGATTAGATTCAGACTTCTCAACAGCTAGAACACCCTAAATAAATGTTTTCCAAATAGCAAAAAAAAAAATTACTTTCAACCCAGAATTATATACCCAGCCAAATTACGAGACAAGTAAGAAGATGAAGTAAAAACATTTTTAGATAAATAAGTCCCTAAACTTTGTCCTATGCTCAGTAAGCTACTGGAGACTTGCTCTACAAAACCAAGGACAGAAACCATGAAAATGAAGCCAGGAAAGGATCCAGAGAAGCATCGAAGATGATGATAAAGATTTCAGGATGACAACTGTGCACCAAATGTCTACTGCAACCAAAGCAGAGACGCCAAGGAAAGACATAGCCATACTGTCTGTCATCATCACATCTCTGGGCATCAAGCCTTCATTTTAACTTTTGGAATACTGGAGGCTGTGCCTCAATAAACACAGGAAATAAAGACAGAGGATAGTATCCGGGAGACAGGACTCCAACTCAAAAAGAAAGACATCCCTGGGATGGCAGTGAAGGGAAGTGTGATGATGGTAGTGGTACAGAAAACCTAAACAGTTCTACAGAGGAGAATGGAAATCTCTGGCCAGATATCGCCAAGAAAATAATGGAAATAATAGATTATCATATTATTGACCTTGAGGAAAACCATATTGGTAGACTACTGGATAGCGTGGGAAGGTTTAACAATAAAGTAAAAAGAATAAAACAAATGAAAAAAAAGCAGTAGCTTCAAAGATGAAGCGTGAGAAAGGAAATATAACCAAAACCATACTACAATGCACAGTTCTGGATAACGTTTTCATGGGCATACTAAGGGAATCACCAAATACTAATTTAACCAAAAATTTTTAATATCACTGCGTTGGCAGTTTGGGGGAACAGGAAGCAGAGAGGGTGACTATGTAAGAGTTAAATTCTTATTACAATAATGAGAAATCCACAGAATCTAAAATTAGTGAATCACAGTAAGCCTTATTTACATATTCTATAGAAAGATGGAGGTATGGAAATCCTATCTAAAAGGGTTAAAAAGAGGGTTGCATCTGAGGGGTTATTGTGCAGAGGTTAGAGAATCACAGTACTGCTTTAAACTTTTCAATATAACTCGATCTTTTAAAACTGTAGGTCTAACTTTGATAAAAAAGGGACTTGAAAAGCACCTAACAGAATGTCTGGCAAGTGGATCTGATTAATAGCAGTAATAGCAAACTGATTACATTACTTTTATATCTTGTTTTATCTCAGCCCAAGGAAAACGTGACATGAAATCATCCAATGTATCCACAATAGCATCAACTTGACATTGTTCCAGTTCTGTTTTTCCAGCCAAATCTGTGCAACAGAAAGAGAGGCCATTTTATGTCCCCAAATATGTTCAGTTTAATTTACTATATTAAGACATTAATTTTTTAATAGGCAATATATTCATATAGTTCAAAAATTCCAAACAATGTAACACAGTATCCAATGATGACTAAGTTCCACCCCTGCCCCATCCTCCTCATTTTGTTCCCTTACCTACTACCATATTGGTAACAACTTTACTAGTTTCTTTTGTATGTGTCCATTGTTTCTTTATGAAAATAGAAGTAATATCCCACTCAATATGCACCTCTCCCATATATCCTAGAGATCTTTCCTTAAAAGTCCCTTAAGGGAGTCGAGGCTGAACAATCTGTGTTTTAATGAGCCTCCAAGCAATCCTGATATACATAAAGTTTGGGGACAACTGCCCAAGTCCAAGTCTTACTCTTGAAATTCTAGGTCTCCTTGAAGACTCAACTCAAATGTCATTTTCACTTCAAAGTCAAATTTCCAAAGAGTCAGAATTAATCTCCATCTCTTCTGAACTTCCAAAAAATTTCATTTGTTGAACTGTGTGTTAGTGCAAAAGAATTTTTTTACATTTTTAATGTACACATATAACTTTGATTCAAAAATAAAGGTCTCATAACTATGTCCCATTTTAGTTGTGAGCTATCCGTGTGTCTGTGGCTTGGGTCATAGTGGTGCAGGTGGAGAGTGATAGGCTTGAGAGTGGGGCGTGGAGATTCTGCAGATGGGTTAGGAAGAAAGGGGCTAGAAAAGAAGCCAAACACAGCTTTTTGCTCAAAAAGAGTGTTAGGGCATCAAGAGGGGAGAGAGAAGACGAAGGAACATAGGATGGGGGGAAGGGCATCAGGAAAAGACGAGAACCAGCAGTTTTCTGTATTTCTCCTCATTAACGCCCATGGATGCAAGCAGATGCCTACAAAACACTCCAGAAGCCAACTACCAACTAAGGATCCCTCATGTGACATGCGGTGGAAGCAAAGAAGACAACCTTGCTAGTTTTTTCAGTGTAACTGGGATGAAGAACATTAAGAACATGATTCAAATAGTCTGAGGAATTTCAAACTCCTCAAATATGAGGAATTTCAAATATGCCACGTGTATTTCCTGTTAATCTTTGATAACTTATGATACACATGGTAGCAAAAGTGTGGTTTCAGATATACATGTCCAATTTGTTCAGTTAAATTCCAGTGAGATTGGGGGCAAGGAGCTGTGGGGCAGGACGGACTGTGGGCAATATAAAATAAAATTAGTTGTCTAGGAAACTCATGGAGAGTTAAATCGATACAGATGGTACATTTATATTTCCCTGGCATTTAATTCCATTCTTCTTTGCACCATAGTGTTCAATAATAAAGTTATTTAATGAATACTGAATATATATATATATATATATATGTGTGTGTGTGTGTGTGTGTGTGTGTGTGTATGCATCCATATATATCATATTTCTTTTCAGTTATCCAAAATTTTTAAGTGCAATAAATGTATTACCTGTGCTTTTGGTCAAGTATCTCGCTATTGCTAGGCTCTGGTGAAGGTGAAGTCCATCGATTTCCAAAATGGGAATTTTGCCAAATGGAAGAGCTTAAAATAAATGAGCAAAGAATCAACTTCCATAATAAGATCAAGAATAACAATACTTCCATTTTTACTGATAATTGTGGAAACAAAGAATAATTTTTAAAATCATGGAATTCTTGAATATTCTAAAAGGGACACTAAGCACCCTTTTTACATTTTATAAGTTAAAAAAGAAGATTTTTTCGTTAGAAGAACTGCTATAAAGTTAGTGACAGACTGGGTCTAAACCCAGGTTTGCAATGATACCCTGTTTTATATTATACATTATCTCATATGCTTACTTAATTTTCTAAAAGCTTTCTAAAAAAACCTTAATTTTGTTAAAAACCTTTCTTTTTTATTATTATTAGTTTCAGGTGTACAGAACAATGCAACAGTTATCCTTTTCACCCCTCACAAAGTGACAACCTCCCTCCCCCCATCCACTGCCCTCCCACCCCCGATATCATGCTTATCTATTACAATTCCATTGACTCCATTCCCACGCTCTACTCCACATCCCGTGACTATATGTATGTATAATTATAGTTGACATACAATATTATTCAACATCAGCTTCAGATGTACAGTGCGGTGGTCAGGCCTCTACACTGTCTGTGATGTGGTCTCCCTAACAAGACATGAGTCCATCTGGCCCCCTAAGAAATATTTACAACATTATTGATTATATTCCCCAGACTGTCTTTTCTATCCCTGAGACCATATTGTAGTTACCAATTTATGTTGTCTTGTCCCTTCCCCTTCTCGCTCATCTCCACCCCCTCCCAACTAGCAACCATCAGTTAAAAACCTTTCTTTCAAAGCTTCCATTAATTTTTGTGGCCTCAATCAAGATCACATTAGTTATTCTTTGAACCATAGTCTGAGGACTATGGAGAGTTTCGCCTCCATATTGAGTTATGGTAAGGATTTTGACAAAATTCTGTTTTTGATAAGTGACTATTTGAAGTATATAGTAAGGCATCAAGCATATTTATACAAATAAGACAGAGTCATACCAGATATCATATTAATATTTTATCTGTAAGTTCTACTTTGTTTTGTTATCTAAACCTATTATATTTTCATCAGAAAGCAATATATTATTATAGAAAAATTCTAAATTGAAGGTAAATAAAAATAATTCTACCACATAATTATAACCATTTCAATTGTTTTCCCATATATTAAAAAACGAAATTATTGTGTCTATAATTGGGCTTTTAGGCAAAAGATAGAAATTTTTACCCTCTTTAAGCTACTTTTGTGTCAGATCTCTGTTAAAGCATTTGAAACTATATTCTAACCATCACAAATTTTAAGATCCCTTTCAACTCGGAAAATATTAAGAAAATGCAGCAATTCCATTTTCAATAACTTTGAGGCACTCAGAGAACTTATATCTAAAAACTAAAAGGTGGGATTTGTTATATGTAATATCTCCACAACCTGCTATATTTTAACTTAAATAATGGATCAAATTAATTTTCACCTATTTTATGTCCACAGAATTAAAAACCTCCATATAAAATTCTGATATCAGAAGAAACGTTTGGATATTAATGGTAAAGTTTCATGAGAACAGAAAATAAACTATTCTATCCCACCAGAGAATTCTCTGATAAGAAAAAAGAGTGATTACAGGGGCAATGACTTTTAAGGCACTCAGGCTTCCAAAAGGCATGTAGCAATATTTATTGTTAATATATCATTTATCATGGCATTGTTGTTAGCATTATCTAGTGCAAATAACTTGGGCCATGGTATTAAATTGACCTGTGTTTGAAAATCAGTTCTGCCTTGCGAGGGCTGTGAACCTGAAAAAATTACCTAAACTCTGTGTGCTTCAGTTATCTCAACTATAAAACAGAAGCAAGAATACATTCCACGTAGGCATGCCAGAGAAATTAAATGAAATGGAGTCTGTAGAGCATCTACCAGGTGTCAGATAGCCTTCAAAGTATTCAACAGTTGTTTTCCTTAACTTCATATTTATGTGAACTTGTGATAATCCAGTCATAAATATGTGAATTTTAGACATATAACTAATGTTTAGTTTGTATTTCTAGGTAACATGGCAAGCTTCTAGAGGATGACTTACACCTTACTGAGAACCACACACTGGTATTTCTTTAATGTAATGATATTTCTAATTCTTCCTCATTGTCCTGAGGGCAAAGTAGCATGTTTTGTTGGGTTGCCTGCCCGATTTGTGCATTTGCTCTTTCCTCTGATCAAGCAGTTTTGTTTGTGTATTCACCCCTCTCTCATATAGTCACCTGCCTCATGAAAATTGATTCTGTCCCCAACTTCAGAAGGGGACTAGATGGTTTTTTTCCATACTCTTTGCCAGTGACTGATTCAGAAATGGACATGCGAGCGAATTTGAGCCAGTGAGACGTTTGCTGAGGTCTTCTGGGCAAGCTTTTCTTCATCCTTCTGGGAACACCTAAGGAAGCAGTTGTCTCTCTCTCACTCTCTCTCATATAGCCTCTCAACATTGCTGTTCCAGGCTAGGAGGCTGGAATTGAGCAAACATATTGCTACCAGCCTCATGATGGAGTCAGCACACAGAGGAGGAAAAATGGATAAAGCCATCCTTTGAAACCTGCCCTACTTCTGGATTTTCAGTTATATGATACAATTCATATCCTTAGTATTTAAGACATTTTGAGTTTGGTTTTCTGTTAGAGCAGCACATCTGATACATTATTAAAGCATTATAGATATCTGTAGCAAGCCCATCCAAATCAATTGTCAAGAATATTAACTTCAATAGTCCCCATTTCAACTCTTCTGACAAAACTTCATATTGGTTTATCTTTATATTTCCTTTCTGTGGTATTTGTATTTTCACCTCAAATAGGAAATTTCCTGGGTCACATAGCATTTATTTAATTTGCCTAAATGCTGCCTCTCAGTATAAAGCTACGTGAGATTTTTTAAAAATCTTTGTTTTTCATTCCCCTGAGGAAAGACAAAACACTCTGGAGACGTATTTTTCCTGCATTTTTAACAACTATTGTTTGTGCTACTTACTTGGTTTGATTTCAGGCCAGTTAGCTTGTTCTATTCTGTGGTCTTCATACTTTATGTCCAAATATGCAAATATATAACGAATAATTTCGGCTCTCCCCCTCATATTAAAATAAATGAGTTTGTAGTTTGGCATGATGTAATTCTGGAAAGAGAAAATTGGAGGAATTATTTTTACAGGCCTCTAGAGATTTTTCAACATTTTTCTTTGGGGACATTTTAAAAGCTTTATGGCTTCTTTGGAGATAATTGAAGATATTAGAGGATATTGCAAAATGAGAATCATAAATCACTACCCTAATAACATACGAGAATGACTTGAAATTAAGATCATGACTCTCTCTTTAAGAACTAGCTAGAACATTCCAGTGAAATAACCAAATTCAAATTCTATTTGTTAAAAGACTTCAGACTAAAAAGGTGTCTGCACACCAACCCTCAGAAGATGGAGTCAAAGCTCCCATTTTAACATGTTTGTGCCCGGCCTTTAGTCATTTGTAATGGGTGGTATTTGACATTGGGTTTGTTGGTTGCTCACAGCTGAGTTTGTGAGGGCAGCGGGGTAAGGACTGCAAAGGTAGGGTACACATGAGAGGAACAGAGCCAGCCAGGCCAACCTGTCATGTCTCTCACTTCCCTCACCGTGGCCTTTCCCTCTCGGAATCAAAGGCTTCGGGAAGCCTTGCTCTCTTCCCCGTTTACTGATCCATGCTGCTGGGTTTATAGGGCCCCTTGCACCATACAAACATACCCCATCTTGGGGGTCCCTTTCGGGATGCGCCAGTGGTGAAAGTATTCCTCCATTCCCTCTGTAGAAGAGCAAGGGAGAAAGAATGCTCACTTTTCTTACTTTTTCAGAGAGTTTGCTAATATTGGCTATATTGGTTAGATTTAGGTTATTATAATTTTGTGAGTTTTCTGTGATTTGTATCATTTCATTCCCATTGTTTACAAACAATTATTTTAAGCACTGATAGTAGACTATATTGTAATTTTATAATGATTAGGCAACTGAGAAAGAAACATTTTCATTTGAAATTCAGTCCTTCCATTTAGTTGCTGTGTATCTTTGGGCTACTCAACAAAATCTCATTGAATTTCAAAGCCCACTTTTTATAAATAAAGATTCTAATATGGATTAGGGTATTTAATGAGGTAATACATGTAAAGCATGTAGCACAATGCTAAATATTTAATAATGATTAACTATTAATAAATTTGAACTAGCTCTATAGTAGAATACTGAATGCAGCACACTAAAATAAATAATTATAGTAATTACACAAATAAAAATCATAAATAACAACTTGTTATTTGTGCATGTAATGTTTAAAATTATATGCATAAATAACAAATAATTGTTATTTATGATTTTTAAATAATAAAGTGCCAAGTTGATATATTTTATTCTCTACTAAGGAAGTCTTTCAAAGATTTTAATGGAACATTAAATAAGAAAATTTATGCTCAAGCCTCAAACAAAATTCCATTTGAAATCACATCACATAAAAGGTCAAACTCTAAAAAACTAGATTGTCAAGTTCACATTTCAAGTTCATGCGTTCCTGGTGTCTATCTGTGGAGAGGATGATTGGAAATAACTGTCCAGTTGCCTATCTAGACCCCCTCGGGATCCAGAAAATGATGGTGATGACAATTCCTAACACAGTCCTTTTCTGGACCTGGGTTTTTCCATGTCTAGATATTGTAGAGAGGTGAGGATGTGGTACTTTTTGTTAGAAACAGAGAGTCACACTAATTATTCTATGTCCTGCCCCACGGTCATTAGCTAGTCCAGTCACCACTCAAGTGAAATGTGACACATGCCACACATATCAGTATGTGGGAATGTTCTCAGTGAAGAGAAGAATTCACTAGAGGAAACCAATGAAAATTCCAAGATTTGTAGCCCTAAATTCCTTTTGGGAAAAAATATAGGGAGTTCAAATTTGAGGGACTAAATGAAGTGCCCATGGGAATAATGAGACTGTTTCAAATTCCTTAAATAGTAAACTTATAAATAAAATAGTAAACTTATAAATAAAAAGTGGAAAATATATGAGAGCACAAAAATAGTAAATTTAAAAATGTAAAGTCATAAGTTTCTTTCTGAAAAAAGAAATTTTTCGTAAACATAGTAAGGGAAAATTCTTATTTAGGAAATAAAAAGCATAATTGTTACAACTCCTTGATCTATGTGCTTTAAATCCCAAAAGAACAAAAGAAAATTCTTCAGAGTGGGAAAAGTGTCATTCTTAGTTACAGTTTCTACTTGGAAAGCATTTTAACACAACTTTTTATATTTATTTTTGTTGTCATAGGTCAAGTTTCCACAGCCATGAAGAAATTTTTTTTTTCTTATAAACATTATATGCATATATAGATTCATGTACGTCCATTATGGCCAACCTTAAAAATTAAACATATCACCTTTTCTCGTTTAGTCAAATGCTACATAAATAACTCCTGAATTCTGCATGAAAACAAAGGGGTTGTTTGTTGTTAATTTGCAAAAAACATGCTATTGTATATTGTATTTCACTCAAGTAAAGAAGATATTTAAAAAGTCTTAGCATTGGTTGGTATCTATTTTTCTCTGCAAATTTATCTTTAAATCTGAGATTTGGCTCAGGCCCATGAACATCTGAACATGCTTATCTTTCCTTCTAGAACATCCTTTCAACAGTCGTAACTCATTAATGAAGCTGTATTTGCACTTCACATTCCTGTAGCTACTTGTATAGTTATGTTTTCTACCGAGCAAAAGTCTGGGCTCTTGGTTTTTACAGCTACAAAATCCCAAACTTTTTGTTGTTGTTGTTCAGGATACAAGTGCACATTTTTATGACAAGAAAAATAAAGGTAAATGCAGTTGGAAATATTTACTGATTCTAAAAATCCTTTCTGTAGTTTATAAAGCTTTTGTATAAAAACTAACATTAAGAATTCCAAGTACATGTTTCTATGGCCAATGAAAATAGATAAGGAAATTTATAATAAAGACTAACGATAAGTATAGAGGATAGTGTCTAGAAGAATACATATTTCTCCCTTATTGCATTTAGCATTACATCTCTATTACAGTAATCTCATTTTATTAAGGCCTTTGTTTTATAAGGATGATAGACTGAAAGAATGAGGATAAAATGTATCTCACGCCCCACCAAGGGATGCAGTGAAGAGCAAGTTGAAGGGTAGAGCAGTTCAGTGGTGAAGGAAATGTGTGGTTTTGGAGTCACCCTTGTCACTTACTCTCTGAAAGGCCTTGGACAAGTCATCAGATCCTAGCTTTAGTGTCCTCGCCTGTAAAATAGTAATGAAGAGATTGTGTGTAAAGTACCAATACAGTGTTTGGCACATAGTATGAATTGTAAAAAGAGAATAAAAAGGGAGAGAGGGAGGAGAAAGAGAGGGAGGGACAGTCCCCACCCTATTGGAGAAGAGAGTGATTAGCGTTGTGATTTGATTGAACTCAAATCCTCAAGGTCATGTTCTTTGATGAACCAACCCTGCTGCAAGCACATAAAAATAAAAAAAATATGTAGTTATGATTAAAAGCCATATAAACCTTGGGCCAAAATGAACAGAAGTAACAAAACATGGCAAGCAGGACTCTGAATTCTGAGAGAGGAGGTGGCCAGTCAGGAGTTCAGCATCTTCAGAATAAAGGAGAATAAAATCCTGTGTACATGACGGGAAACTGCACAGATGCACTGCCTGAAACTAGGGCCTGACATGTATTTCTGGACCATATTTTACAAGGTCAAACTGCAAACCTTTAGTAAAATTGATAAAGAGGAAAATATATGAAATGTCACAAATAATATTACAAATAAAAAGGTCATAACAGGTAAAGTGAATCGTTAAAAATCATAAGCTAATACTACAAATAACTTTATGTCACTAATCTAAACCCTTAAATGGGAAGGTTTGAGACATATAAAAACTAACACAATCAAGTTGAAAAGAAACTGAAAGCCTGCATTTAACAATATCCAGTAAAAGAAATCAAATTGATAATTACTGGGTTGTCGGAGAAGTCATGACGCATTTTTGCAATGAAAAACATAGAAAACATATGTCATGACTTTTCCGACAGCCCAATAGTTACACTCATGAAAGACACCAGAAAGACACTAGGCCCAGATGATTTTACAGGTGAATTTTAGTTAATCTTCAAGGGAAAGGTCATCCTTGTCTTTTACAAGTAGTTGCTAGCTATTCAAATTTAATAGTATATAAAAAGAAATAAAATGTAATGACAAGATGGGGTTTGTCCCAGGAATGCAATATGTTTCAACGTCAGAACATCTATCTGTATAATATACTGCACTAATAGATTAAAAGAGAAAAACTGTAAATCGTATTCTCAGTAGATGTAAATAAATGCTTTTTAAAAAACATAAAATTAATCACTCATTTGTGATCTAAACTCTTAAAAACCACAAACTCTTAGCAAACTGGGAATAGAGGAGAAGTTTCTAAACCTAATAGAGTCTCTACAAAAACAGAGCAAACATCAGACATAAGGGGGAACCAATGGAGGTATTTTTCTTTAATGTCAAGAATAACAAGAACCCCACTATTACCCTTACTATTCAACATAGTCCTGGATGGCCTAGCTAATTAGGTAAGATAAGACAACAATATATAACATACGTAAGGAATGGCAAAGAGACAAAACTGCCCTTATTGGCGATCAAAATGATTGTCTCTACTGTACTCAATCCAAGAGAGCCTACAGATAAACCTAATCCTAAATTTCAAATGGAAATGCTAAGGACCAAAATAGCCAAGACCAATCAAGAGAACAGAAAAGGAGAGGACGTGACCTAACAAGATAGCAAGACATATTTAAAACCCTTATAATTTCAGGTATTGCAATCCTTCAGGATCAGACATACAGAAGTGCATAGCGTCTCTAAACAGAACCTCAGATATGACAGACATGACATTACAGTGGGGACATGAAGTGACCAGACTAAAATGCTTTTGAGACAAAAGAGAAAAAGTATACATCATTAGACCCCAACTTCACATATACAGGCAAATAATATCCAGGTGGATTATAAATCTAAATCTGATTTGACGGGCCTAGGCAAATTCTGGTGTCATGTGGTCTCATTTCCTGTGAAGTGTCATTTCTGAGCCCTTCTACTGTCATTGTGAGTTAAAAATCCCATATAGGGAAAGCTGTGTGTATTTCCTAAAATGACACAGGAACAAGAAGTAAAAAGGTGGATTGTGCTTACAGATCTCCTTTACACCTAAAACTAACCACTGGCTTCCTGCCACTCCAAAGGAAGTCACGTCAAGTTCCTCATTCAGCAGACAAAAAGCCCTCTTAGAATTCTGTTAGAAAAATAAGATATATGTTTCTCAAAAAACATATGAATTATGACTAATAAATACCCTGGATAGAAATTTTCACATAGGAACTCATGAAGGTAGCCATTAAATGGAAAAGAAGATTTAGCTTTAATATAGGCTAAACTAGACTAGAAATTAAATCTTTTACATGGAAAATAATAGTGTTTCTGAGAAGTCCATTCTTGGGTATTTCCTTTCTTTCTCCTGGGTTTGTAATCCTTTTCACTTTATATAACAATGATACATTTCAGTATAGTAGTTTGTTAGTCTGTAGTAGTAGGAGTTTGATAAAACACTATTATAGTAAGACCATTTCCTTTTAACTAAGCCAATATTCTATTCTGAACATTGCTGTAAGACCAGAATGAAACATACTTTCAAACATTCTTGTGTCTGTGCCAGAAAGGTAACAACAATCCAAACTTAACTCTCTGGCAAAGGAGGCTGATATTAATTATCATATTATGTACCTTAAAATTGTCAGCAGATAGCTAAAAAAAAAGGATGGAGTTTTTGAAGTAATTTTAATGAACAGAAAACTTACAAATAAGGAATTAATAACCATTTTGCAATTCAATCCAGAAGCTCAATACTATTTATCCTAATTTATTTTATCATGAAAGTGTTGGCGAAGATGAACTTTTATTCTTAAATAAAATGAACTGCAAACATATTTGGGAATTCCAGATACAGTTTTATATATGCCTATGAGTTACAAGTATAAAAACAAAGATTGCTTGGGAATTTGTCACAATTCTTTGCTACATCTTGACCAATAACAACGTGTGTACTCTCACTGTGTGCTATAATGTTTTGAAATGCAACAATTGGATTCAGACAACAATCAATTGTCTACACAGGAACTTCTCATCCTTATTGACATATTGACATTAAATAACAGCATTGTCTTACCCGCTAACAGTTGGTGGTATAATGCTTATTTTCCTCATTAACAGTGTCACTGGGCATTTCCAGTTCAGTTCTGGAAAAGTTGCCAGGTTGGAGTTAAATGGTACACCAATAGAGTAATAATAATTTTTGTTAACTGGATAAGTGATGGATTTCAACCAAACACTGGATGTTTAATATTGAATTAGCAAGGCAAGATATCTATTTTCCTATCAAAGACCAACAAAGTTATCATTTTAAATGGTTGCCTCACATGAAATTCGAAGCAAGAGGAATAAGTGAAATATCCTTTGGAAGCTCTGAGTTCAAATTTCTGGCCTTAAATGATGCTTCAATGCCTTAAATGATGCTTGAAATCAAATGATAATAGATTACAGTTCTTGGCAAAACTTCAACAAAATGAGCCTTAAAGCAATAGAAAATATTAAAATATTATGAATAAGATCTCTGAACCATTTTTTGTTTTCCCTACAAGAGGCCCTTCCTGTCAAGGAAATACTGTTTCCTACAGGTGCAGGATTGGCATTTGCACAACCCTGCGAGTGAGTGCCACTTTGGATTTTGTGCTTTAAGTACCTCACCTATCTCATTTGCCTTATCCTAGTCCTGGCCTTGATTGAGAGGAATAATTAATAATAATAGCAACAGCCAAAATTTACTAAGCACTCACTACGTGCTAGTCACTATGCTAAGACTATTTCATGTGTTATCTCTTTAATTCTTCCCTCAAAGAAACAGCAAAGTTGCCCACCCATGTCCACCTTCCCTCTTCCTTCAATAATAATAATAATAATTAATAATAATAATACCTATTTTACATGGTGGTAGGGAAGAATAAAATCCCTGAACTTAAAAAGAAACAAAGAAAAAGAAAATGAATAACTATGAAAGCCTCTACTGCTTCACACTTGGGAAAATTCTGGAACAAGTCACAAATCTGATTAGAACAAAATTCTTCCTCTGGTATTAACTGTATTTTCTGTGTAAAAATCCAGTTGAAGGATTGGCTTTAAAATCTCTTGAAATCTTTTTAAATCTTTTGAGCCTGTATTTCTCTTAGAAGTTACCATTTGATGTCCTCTTGGCTACTAACATGGAGAAGCTCTGAATGACATAAGGTCTGAGTGAGTGAAATGGTGAAAATAAGCCACACAACAGCCTCTCAGTCACACACAGAATATGACAGTAATAAAACTAAAACCCTAAAGAGTGAAGACTACCTCGTTGCTTATCATCATAGAGTTCAAGATTATCACTTACTTGTGCTGTGTCTCTGTAGAGTCTCTAGTATCTTGTATGTCCTCATATGTGACTACATCCTGCATTTATATGATGAGTAACTGATGGCCACCAGCCAATGAGAGAAGAGGCAACTTCCTTCCACTTAAGTCTCTTCCTTCAATTCTTAGAGGAAATATGCCTGCCGAACAGCACAAACCTGCACAGTCTTCTGGTTATCATTGGCGCTTGATAGTATCTCTGTGCCGACACACCTCACACATTTGCCTAGAGTTGGCACAGTCAAAGTTGCAGGTGTGAAGTGTGCCTATTGCTACAAGCTTTTATTGTTATAGTCTTACACATAGGCTCCTGGAGAAGGAGAAGACATGAGTACAAATGAACCCTCTTTCCATACACACTTGGTTTGCTCCCTCACTCCCTTAGGTCTGCGGGGAGAATCCTTGGCTCACTTGCCTCCTCCCACCTTCCCCAACAGGCTCATCCTTGACCTGCCCTACGCTTCTCCTTCACAGTGTCTGACAACATAGAGTATTTTATTTATCTTCACCTTTCCCCAGTAAGATGTGAGTTCCATCGTTGTGTCCTCAGAACCGAAAGGAGTGCCGAGCACATCATCAGCACTAATAGTTGATGAATGAATGGTCCCAATATCCCTTTCCCCACAATTCACATTTTTACAAGGACTCTTAAGTTCTCACTGTGGCTAGTGTATTTGCACTCACTTCTCAGAAGGGCCTATTGTTTAATGTAAACCTGGAGGGGGAGATGCCAATACAGCTTGT